ATCTGATATTATCCAAAAGATGCGCACTGTTAAGGTGCACAAAATCTCGGACTCAGTTTTTTTAATTTCGATTTCGTTTTCGGGCCATTTCGATTAAAAGGTAAAAAAAGGGGTAAAAATAAGCTATTTACAACCCATCCAGCGCCTTCATATATTAAAATATTTCTTTGATACGTTCATAAACTTGTAGAAATAACCCATACGAAGAGAATGTATGTGAAAAATAGTTTGTAATATGAGCAGTTGCCGAGAAATGGGCAATTTTGCATGAGTCACTTTTTACGCTAGTTTGCCTGTAAAAGAGTCAATCATTACTGGATTTTCATAAAAGTTACACCATTTGGTGCGTAATGTCAATTTTAACTAGGTCAAACCAATTCAACATTACCAATATCACCGGAAATTACGTAATTTGGGCAAAAACCGTATTTATAGCCTTCGAAACAAATAATTTATTCAAATGAGTTGTATTTGTTATTCGTTTAAAATTTTGATATTTGATTCCAATCAACTAATAGAATGAACCCATACGATCATATAGATATCACAAATTCCTTTCTAACTTGGTCAGTTGCGGAGAAATAGACGATTTTGAACAGGTCACTTTTCAAGGTTTTTGGACCATACAACTGTCAATTATTATTCGATTTTCATAAAATTTTCACTGTTTGATACCTTTTACCAATTATGATTTCATACAAGTAATTTCAGATTTTCATTATCACCGGAAGTAACGTCAATTTCGCAAAAACTGTATTTGTAGCCTTCAAAACAGATATTTTGGTCAAATGAGTCTGATTTGTAATGTTTTTACAATTATGATTTTTGATTCCGCTCAACAAATATATTGAACACATATGATCATACAGATACCGCAAAATGGTTTCTAACTTGTACGGTTGTAGAGAAATAGACGATTTTCTACAAGTCACTTTTCAAGGTTTTGGGTCTTTGCCATTTCTGATTTTAAAAAACTAATTTATCTTTATCATTATCACTGCATATAATGAAATTTCGTCAGGATCACTAAATGTATAAAATGAATTGATTACCAAAAGATGTTGGTTCCTGTGGTAATTAGCTCATATCAGATTGTTACTTCCTGAATTATATTATTGTATGAAAAAACTTTCTTGTTTAACTTTCTTCTCTATCCATCTCTTGCAAATTGTGTTTGTTTTTCTTTCCTCCAATTTAAATGGCTGCATTTTGGCATAGCCGGAGACGGGGCACATAGCTACGCTACTTTTGATTTTTGATTTTCGGCAAATCTTCGCAGATATTAGGCGCTAAATTTAGAAAATTTAAATTTTTACAAAAAACTTTTTTATTTATGAATATTTTTTAGTCGTGTTTTACACAAATATAACGAGTCCTCTGACTTGGGAAAAAATGTGAAAATTTTTTGTCTCGGTAATTTTCCTTGGCCCCCATTGGCTAATTCAGTTTTTCAGTCCTAGATTAATTATTTATTGTTCGATTTGTATAAAACAAAGTTCATATGCTCCGTTGTCTCAATTGTCATTTTTTTTGTTACCAATAGTGTTATCTGTCGGCACCGGAAGTGGCGTAAATTGACAAAAAACTACAATTTTGACAGTTAGGTACCATTTTTCGAAAGCAAATATTATTTTTTTCAAATCTGGTATAACTGAAATTGTGCGCCCTTTAAAGGCGCACAAAATGTTGGGACCAGTTTTTTTAATTTCGATTCCGTTTTCGGGCTATTTCGATTAAAAGGTGAAAAAAGTGTAAAATTAAGCTATTTACAACCCATCCAGCGTTTTCATATTTTAAAATATTACTTCGTAACTTTCATAAACTCGTAGCAATAATCTATACGGAGAGATTGTATGTGAAAATTAATTTGTAATATACGCAGTTGCCGAGAAATGGGCAATTTTGCATGAGTCACTTTTTACGCTAGTTTGCCTGTAAAAGAGTCAATTATTATTCGATTTTCATAAAAGTGACACCATTTGATGTGTAATGTCAATTTTAACTAGGTCAAACCAATTTAACATTTTCAATATCACCGGAAATGACGTAATTTGGGCAAAAATTGTATTTATAGCCTTCGAAACCAGTAATTTATTCAAATGAGTTGTATTTGTTATTTGTTTAAAATTTTGATATTTGATTCAAATCAACTAATACAATGAACCCTTACGATCATATAGATATCACAAAATGGTTTCTAACTTGTTCAGTTGCGGAGAAATAGGCAATTTTCAACAGGTCACTTTTTAAGGTTTTTTGTCAATAAAAGTGTCAATTATTATTCGATTTTCATGAAATTTTCACTGTGTGATACATAATGCCATTTACGATTTCATACAAGTAATTTAAGATTTTCATTATCACCGGAAGTAACGTCATTTTGGCAAAAACTGTATTTTTAGCCTTCAAAACAGATATTTTATTCAAATGAATCAGATTTGTAATGTTTTTAAAATTATGATATTTGATTCCAATCAACAAATAGAATGAACTCATTCGATCATACAGATACATAATATTTTCACCATGTGATGATGCTATTTCTGATTTCATAAACCAATTTAACATTTTCATTATCACCGGAAGTAATGTAATTTTGACAGGATCACTGACATGTAGCAAATGCATTGATTGCTGGATTTGGTTGTTTCTGCGTCCATTTTATTTCATGTGTGCAATGCTTATGTGGAAACCGGTTTAACGGTTTCATTGGTACCAGAAGTGACATAAGTTCAAGGGTAACGTGGCACCGGTGAAACCCGTCATTACTGCTTCGCAGTTCTAGTTCTTATTATTATTATTCTTCTTTTGTTTTGAGTAGATCTCAGCAACTGATTGTCGGATCGTTACGATTTCTTCGGTTTTATCGGAAAAGTGGGTGTGACTTAGAGGATAAAGCTATTTTGAACGTTCTGCGACAATGCGAAATGTCCGAAATCACCGAAGCTATCGTTTTTAGAAATATTGCAGTAATTTTAACAATAATCATTGGATTTTAACGTTCGATGCATTTTGGCATAGCCGGAGACGGGGCACATAGCTACGCTACTTTTGATTTTTGATTTTCGGCAAATCTTCGCAGATATTAGGCGCTAAATTTAGAAAATTTAAATTTTTACAAAAAACTTTTTTATTTATGAATATTTTTTAGTCGTGTTTTAAGCAAATATAACGAGTCCTCTGACTTGGGCAAAAATGTGAAAATTTTTTGTCCCAGTAATTTTCCTTGGCCCCCATTGGCTAATTAAGTTTTTCAGTCCTATATTAATTATTTATTGTTCGATTTGTATAAAACAAGGTTCATATGCTCCGTTGTCTCAATTGTCATTTTTTTTGTTACCAATAGTGTTATCTGTCGGCACCGGAAGTGGCGTAAATTGACAAAAAACTACAATTTTGACAGTTAGGTACCATTTTTCGAAAGCAAATATTATTTTGTTCAAATCTGGTATAACTTAAATTGTGCGCCCTTTAAAGGCGCACAAAATGTTGGGACCAGTTTTTTTAATTTCGATTCCGTTTTCGGGCTATTTCGATTAAAAGGTGAAAAAAGGTGTAAAATTAAGCTATTTACAACCCATCCAGCGTTTTCATATTTTAAAATATTACTTCGTAACTTTCATAAACTCGTAGCAATAATCTATACGGAGAGAATGTATGTGAAAATTAATTTGTAATATGCGCAGTTGCCGAGAAATGGGCAATTTTGCATGAGTCACTTTTTACGCTAGTTTGCCTGTAAAAGAGTCAATTATTATTCGATTTTCATAAAAGTGACACCAGTTGATGTGTAATGTCAATTTTAACTAGGTCAAACCAATTTAACATTTTCAATATCACCGGAAATGACGTAATTTGGGCAAAAATTGTATTTATAGCCTTCGAAACCAGTAATTTATTCAAATGAGTCATATTTGTTATTTGTTTAAAATTTTGATATTTGATTCAAATCAACTAATACAATGAACCCTTACGATCATATAGATATCACAAAATGGTTTCTAACTTGTTCAGTTGCGGAGAAATAGGCAATTTTCAACAGGTCACTTTTTAAGGTTTTTTGTCAATAAAAGTGTCAATTATTATTCGATTTTCATGAAATTTTCACTGTGTGATACATAATGCCATTCACGATTTCATACAAGTAATTTAAGATTTTCATTATCACCGGAAGTAACGTCATTTTGACAAAAACTGTATTTTTAGCCTTCAAAACAGATATTTTATTCAAATGAATCAGATTTGTAATGTTTTTAAAATTATGATATTTGATTCCAATCAACAAATAGAATGAACTCATTCGATCATACAGATACCTCAAAATGGTTTCTAACTTGTAAGGTTGCAGAGAAATAGGCGATTTTCTACAAGTCATTTTTCAAGGTTTTTGGTCTATAAAGGTGGCAATTATTATAGGATTTACATAAAATTTTCACCATGTGATGATGCTATTTCTGATTTCATAAACCAATTTAACATTTTCATTATCACCGGAAGTAATGTAATTTTGACAGGATCACTGACATGTAGCAAATGAATTGATTGCTGGATTTGGTTGTTTCTGCGTCCATTTTATTTCATGTGTGCAATGATTATGTGGAAACCTGTTTAACGGTTTCATTGGTACCGGAAGTGACATAAGTTCAAGGGTAACGTGGCACCGGTGAAACCCGTCATTACTGCTTCGCAGTTCTAGTTCATATTGTATCATCAAAATATAAATATAATATATTAGGACGTGCTTGTCAGCAATGAAACACATTGAAAATCTCCAAGCATTAAATATACTAGCGCCCATGGAGTTCAAAGACTAATGTGCAGAGCACTCTATCTCTCGTATCATAATTGGAGCATGACACTCATTATAAATTACAGGTTACAGCTAAACACAACCACGAAGGGGATGATCTCGACATACACGCCAAATGATCCCGGAATATTTCAAATTCTATAAAAACTTCAGGTTTATCATTTTATCCGACTAAGTTTGAGATACTTACATAAAACATCAATTGTTGTTTGACTTGTACCTGTACCTGTTTGTTGTATATTAGTAGATGTAGGTATCATGATATTAGTAGCTGTACATGTATAACCACCTGTCTGATTCCTCTTTATATCCGGTATACGTAATGTAACACCAGTAGAACTATATCCACCAGGTCCAGTCCACCTATAACTAATAACAGTAGGGTTACCAGGGATACTGCTACAAGTTACAGATAAAACATCAGATTCTAGTATCTTATATATAGATGGTGTGGACACAGTAGGTGGATATAAAACATCAACTTCTACAGATGTAGATGTTCCTGTTCCAACTACATTATTAGCTGTACATGTATACTGTCCAGCTTGTGATCTCTGTACTGACGTCAGACGGAATACAGATGACATTTGACCTGTAATACTGATACCATCTTTACTCCAGGTAAAACTTGTAGGTTGGGGATTAGAATCATCAACAGTACAGGTTAAAGTCAGTTGAGTACCTTCTATTATTTTATAAGGACTGGTTGATGGTGCTATATGTACTGTTGGTCGATCTGGAATAGATAAAAGGTTAAAGTCAGTTGAATGCCTTCTATTATTTTATAAGGACTGGTTGATGGTGCTATATGTACTATTGGCGGATCTGTAAAAGATAACAGGTTAAAGTCAGTTGAATGCCTTCTATTATTTTATAACGACGTTTTGGTGGTTGATCTGTAATAGTTTCTAAATATCATAAATTATTAAAATATCATGAGTAGATAGCATCTGATTATGACGTAATTCTACAAAGTTCTAAGACAATTTATAGATATCTCATATTCCATAGAATCAGAAATCTCTATACAAATGCCAATTACCGCAGTCCTACCATTTTAACATCTTATATGTTATATATTATTATAATTTGCATCTTATGGCAAGAGTGATATAATCTATTTTAATGTATTATCATAACTTACATCATTATAAATGGTATCTTATATATTACTCTTCCGGACACCTGTTACCACTGTTTGTCGTGTATTTTGTCTATACTGTTTTTTTTAGGACTTCGAATTTTGTCTAATGATTTGGATTGTTCGTACTTGGTTTTATTTTATTATTATAACTTACATGATATATATAGAGGATATTTGTGCATGAGTGGAAATATAAACGTTTTCTTGCTTAGAGATGAAATAAAATATGTTATTCACGACAAAACGACAAATGTTCTATTTATTTTATGATTTTACAATCTTTTTAGGTCAAAACAACTAGCCAGTGGAATAACACTTTTATTTCACTGATAAAACGCAGTATTCCACTACTGATCATAAAATAAATTATATTATATACATACTTACATTTTATACATTATTATAAATTATATATTATATTTTATCATAACTTACATCTTATATATTATTATAACTTACATCATATATATTATTATAACTTACAACTTATATATTATTATAACATACATTTTATATATTATTATAACTTATATCTTATATATTTTTATAGCATACATCTTATATATTATTATAACATACATCTTATATATTATTATAACTTATATCTTATATATTATTACATCTTATATAGTATTATAACTTACATCTTATATCAAGAGTGATATTATCTGTGTTACCAGTACCACACTGATTGGTAGCTGAACAGTAGAGTGTTTTATTGTTTAGGTGTTTGGTACTAGTTAATTGTAAGATACTAGCTGTTGCGCCATCTATAACACCACTAGTCTGTTCTGGTAGTAAATTATCTGTTGAATCTAAATACCACGTGAATGACACGTTTGGATCTAGTGTTCCTGTATAACACGTGATGTTTGTTACCATACCATCAGTAAATAATAATCTACCCTTATCTTTTATTGTACTGGATGCTGGGACTGAAATAATGGTAAAATAAAATGTAGGGAAATATTAAACAGAAAAATGAAATGAAATGAAATGGAGTTTAACGTCCTACGGCCTACTCTTGTATCGAATTCCAACTGCCAAGGCATCTTTTACGTGCACGCCAATGTGCACACGGGAACTCGGTTTTTCGTCACATCCGAACGACACTACATCATTCCTTGTCAGCCCCTCCGTCTTGCATCACTGACAAGGGAGAACCACGCGTAATAATAAAATAATATGAGATAGCAACCATAGAAAGTATACGACTTCGTATCATTTCTAATTTCATCTCACCTGTAATATTGAGATTTGTACTGTTAGAACTGCCCCCATCCTCACATGTCCATTCTCCCCCATCTCTTACTGCTGATGTACTGTTGATATATACAATACTTATACCAGTATTAAAATCAATGGTTATATTATAACCAGGTAGTTGATCACACGTAAATATACATTTTGAAACTTCCTCATCATTCCGTTCCCATACAATAAAATCTGGTGGATTAACAGTACATGTTAAAGTAACTGGTGCACTTTCACATACATCAGACTGGTCTATATATACAATTACCTCACCTATAAATATAAACATAGTTACACATAGAATACAACATTTTAAAGTAACTGGTGTTCCTTCACATACAACATACTAGTTTATATCTACTGTAACCTCGATCACCTATACATATAAACATAGTTACACATAGAATAGAACCTGTTAAAGTAACTGGTGTACCTTCACATACATCAGCCTGGTCTATAGCTAAACCAATGTCACGTAGAAATATAAACATGGTTAAACATTAAACAGAACGTTTGTTTCTTCATATACATTAGACTGGTCTAAAACTAAAATCGTCTCACTTAGATACAGAGAGAGAGGGAGAGAGAGAGGGGGGTTAACGTCCACTCGACACAAACTAGGTCATTTCGGGACTAACACATGGTTCAATTTTATCAGAAGTGGGATGAAACCGCAGAAAACCCACCAGGTTGGACAGGTGACCCTATACCTTGTCACGGGGAATCGAAACCATGCCAGTTGACTCAATGATAGACCTTATGATACAGTGCGCACGCACTAACCATTCGGCCATCACAGTGCGCACGCACTAACCATTCGGCCATCTATATATAATAGAACATAATCTAAACTATTATCACCTAACGTAGTTAAACCCACTAAAAACTTATTTTTCAATGGCTGTAAAACTATTAACTAAAGAAAGACATAGACTAATAAATGATAGTTACTGATGTAAGGGACAGAACAATTCCATCAAGAACAACAGAAGCTAAGTATAAAAATCTAAATTTTTAACCCCAAAGAGAATTTCTTGAAAACAGGTTTCTTGATTCCTATTTAATTAACCATGTAGATTTCTGTGAGAGACAACTTGACAAAAAAATGCCACTATATATTATGGTGGTTGATTGGTATCATGTCGTGCCGTGGTGTCGCCCTTCATAAGGCGACGACCCGACATCACGACATTTTAACCCGACTCTACGACAACCCGACATCGCGACATTTTATCCCGACAATACATTTTCAATATATTGTAATTTCGCGTAAAAATGTCGTATTGTCGGGTTAAAATGTCGTGAAGTCGGGTTGTCGTGGTATCGTGATGTCGGGTTGTCGTGATGTAAGGGTTGTTGCGGTGTTGGGTTATCGACTATATTCTTCTCCATGGCGGTAGTGCAGGACAAAGGGCCTGGCGGCAAAGAACAGTGTCTAGTATTGCAGATGTGACAAAAAAAAACAAGCTCCTGTGTACAAATGGGCGTGCAGATAAAAGAATCCTTCACGGTTGAAATTCGATGAAGAAATGCCACCGTCCATTGGAAATTTCCGTCACATCACTATGCATAGCGTATGCCTATCTTCAATAGTCCGGTTCGTGCAGAAAAGTAGGAAAATGACATCACGACGTGATACCAATCAGCCACCATAATATATGGTTGTAATTCGAGCATCTTGGGTTGGTTTCGTTTTGATGAGTGAAGATACTGAGGCCTATTTAAAGATACATTATGGGAGATTAGATAAAGAGCTGGCAGTTCTCACTATAATAGTTACAAACTAGATACTGCAAAGGGAATTTGCTGGAAATTTCAGTCAAATTGATCCACTATGAACCGATATTTTAGCTATTGAATTTTCGGTGGCCTAGCTCCGATCATCATCACTAAAGTCGGTAGGATAAAACATAGTCTCGATTATCCATTTCATGATTTAATTATGAATGGAAGCCGAACAGCAAATCGGAACCTAATCAAATAAACATCGCAGTCTAGCGATGCCATCAAGAGTTGATTATGGTCTGGATAAGTTAATTAATGTCTAATTAATAATTTAGAAAACATTTCTGGTCTAAAGAAAGACTTGCAATAGGCAGATTTTTCGCTTGCATAATGTTTGTTTAATTATTATGTTCACCTCCTTGCAAGTCCAATATTCGTAGGGGTAAGTTGAGGTATGGCAGAACTTACCCAGTTACTTTATTTGATGTTATTATGTGATATCTTGTATTCATTAGTGATATTTCAATCACTGGGTCCTAGCCTAGTGTAGCACCATAGGTCTTTTGTCTGACGTGGAGAGCGGACACGCACTAAAATCGGTTGCCACATCCTACATACGACCCATGCATCCTTTCTTACTACATATTTCTGTAGCCGTGTGATCGTCTAGAATTTATGTCTAGCTATCTTTACTTCTGCATTACGTTGTGTATTTACTTCTTACAGTTTCTTAAGACGTTTGTCTTACCAGGAATACCATTGCAACAGTTCGCTTCTACATTTTATATATACTATTCAAAAAAAGTAGGGGATATTTGATTTTTAAGTGTTATTAAAGTCACCTAATGAAACTGAATAAGAAACAAATGACAAAATGAAATGAAGTTCACATTCATCGATTTATTCCAAATGATCGTTAGACTAAGTAAGGCACAGACTGACCATTATAAGGGTAAAATGATACCCGGGGTCAAACAGCAAAGTTACCACAGCATCACAACCAAGTCAGTAACGGGTAAATCCTCCTCTGTTTGCCAAACAAGCATTGATCCGACGTGGCATACTCCTAATGAGACGTCTAAGGTCATTTTGGTCCAGATTGTCCCATTCCTGTTGCAACGCAGCAGCAAGTTCTTGGACACTGGCAGGACGTTGTTGACGTTGACGTAACCTCTGTCCAAGCATGTCCCAGACATGCTCGATGGGGGAGAGGTCGGGACTCAGTGCTGGCCAAGGTAATGTGGTGATGTTCTGTTGTTGGAGGTAACCTGTAACGATCCTGGCCCTGTGACATCTTGCGTTGTCATCCTGGAAGATGAAACGGCGGCCATGACGTCGTGCAAACGGCACAACATGGACTGCCAAGATGTTGTCCCGGTAGTACTGGCCTGTAACACGCCCTGCAACAACATGTAAAGCCGTTCTTCCAGCAACAGTGATGCCTCCCCACACCATAACAGAACCACCCCAAATCGATCATGTCTGATGACGTTAACGTCTTGGAAGCGCTCGTTTCGACGACGCCACACCCTCCTACGTCTGTCCAAAAAATCAACAGTGAACCTTGACTCATCTGAAAACATCACATTGCTCCAGCGTCGATTATCCCAGTGTTGACGATCCCTACACCAACGACGTCTTGCCTGAATGTGATGATCTCTCAAACAAGGGATCACGCGAGGACGTCGGGCGCGAAGGTGACCCCTATGCAGTCGATTCCGAATGGTCTGGCCACTCACTCTCACACCAGTGTCTGTTTGAAGACGAGCGCTGATCTGATTTGCTGTGATGACACGATTTCTCAAGGCCAAGGTACGGATAAATCGATCCTGGGCTTGAGTTGTCGCCCTTGGTCGACCTGAGCGTGGTCTGTCCTGTACAGATTGTGTATCACGGTATCTGGACCATAGCCTGCTTATGACAGACTGAGAAACATTCATCGTCCGCGCCACAACCGCCTGTGTTGTGCCGATCTGTAGCATGGCAAGGGCACGTAACCTTTCATTTTGGGTAAGCCGACGCATATCAAAATTTGTTTTCTGGTCACTAAAACAATTAAACTGATGTTTCCACCCTGGAATTCAATGCCACAATGACTGTAACATTCAAAGTCAGAGTCGTGCAAATCTTGGGTTGGACCCCCATGATGATCCCAAGCATCACCTGCATTCCATGCGGTAGCTATTGGTGCGTTTGGGCGTCACATGTAACTGGAAATGTTTCTTCTGTTAGGTTCTATAGTGACTTTTTTCGTAGTCATTTGCATATTTTAGTATTATGCCCCCAAAATCAAATATCCCCTACTTTTTTTGAATAGTATATATATATAGCTCAATACATGAATACAAGTATAGCACAGATTACAATACTAGCTAAAACCATTTCTCCACCCTAGCCAGCCTCGGGGCTGTCTAAGAACTCAGACGGAACCTCTCTGGAATCTAATGGAAGTCTAACTTAAAACTTTACTATGATTTCTTTTATAAGACTCCAGCATATCACGCACAGAAAGCCTGTTCATGGCCCTGAACCTGTGCAATTAACGATATGATTGGTTACTTTAAATTAAATGATGCAATTAGAATAATTCCACTCACGTGTAATCTGGTGGCATATTATTGACCTATGTTTTGGCTAAATAGCTCTTTTTATGTATCAACTGTCAATTACAGACTAAGTTGATTTAGTACACACTATATATAATATATATGTGAATATGTGTGAAACTATTAATTTGCCAAATATATTAATTAATGAAATATAAAGTCATCTTATTTCTCTATTCTTTGTCTATAAATTTTAAAACAATGTCGCAAAGACGATAGTGCTACAATTTTACATGTACAATGTATGTCTGGATAATATGCTTTTGTTTGGAAATCGACATGCTGATATCCCCACCAGCCATCAGCAGTTTAATATACAAAACTTAAAATGTCCATGGTATCTATTTGATACAGCAATTTTGTAGAATGCGTTCATTTTCAATATTTCAATACTCTGATAACAACAATCCGGTGCTGCTGAATCTATAGCCTAGTCATTCGTTTTAGTAGGTGCTCTTAACATGAATAAATTGCAAGTGAATATTATCATTTACATATCCCATGACCAATTGGAACAACAGCGTATATAAACATTTGTATTTTTGTGAAATACATCAATAGTTCTTGATTACATTGCCTCGGCTCAGCTTACCCCATATGTTTAACAACTTACCCCACCCCCAGGTTAAATTGTGCCATTTTACTAACATATTTTAGAACCCCACCTTTTCTTCCGGCATAGTAATTTGGCGGAATAGTGCTTGTTAATAAAGAACAACTTAAATCATGTAGTGAAACAAAGTTGCAGCAAATGAGAGAGATAGAGAGAGAGAGAGAGAGAGAGAGAGAGGGG